GTTTATAACAAGCATGTTGGTGTTGACCCCTAAAGCCCCCTGAAAACGCCAAGGTTTAGGTGGGGTGAGTTTAACTTCAGTTGCTGACCGCTCCCCGCATTTCAACCATCTCACTCACCCTCACCCTCATCCTCACCCTCACCTTACACCACCAAGCTCTCGCATCTAACTTCACCTATCTCTCATCATCCTTCTCTCCTCCCCATCTCAACACCACCCCAACTCACCCACAATGCCACCACCAGATTTCACCTCTCCCCTCACCTTCAAAACCTTCAACACCATCCCCTCCACCGCCGCATCCCCACCACCCCCCTCAGAAACATACTACCTCCTCGCCGAGATAAAAGAAAACCTCTCCCTCACCCGCCCAACCCTAATCTGCTCGGACCTCTCCTCCACCTCCTTCGCCCTGACTTGGTCCGACCTCCACGCCTCTCCCCACGCCTCCGACGTTGACTTCAAGGCCCTAGGTCTCAAAAAGGGGAATTGTGTCCTCTTGCCAAATGCCAAAAGAACTGACTCCTCAGATGAGGTGAAGCAAGGCAAGATTGTGATCCCCGGGGGCAAGGATGAGTGGCAAGGAAAGTCCGGGCTGAGGGTGATACCAGGCAAGCTGGAAAAGGTGGTGGAGGTGGGGCAGGATTGGGAGTTTGTGATTGAGGAGGGGGAGGGGAAGTGTGGGAGTTGCGGCAAGGAAGGGAGGGAGGAGGAGCTGGCCAAGTGTACGGGGTGTAGGGGGGTGGGGTATTGTTCCAAGGTATGCCTCTCACTGTTGAATATAAGAAATGATGATGCTAATGGGGGAGAACAGGAGTGTCAGGTTAAAGGCTGGGCAGAAGGTGGCCACAAGAGTACATGCAAGATTATCAAGACCTTCAAGGAGATATGGCCTTGATTTAGATACACAACAATCTCAACTATGACATCGCACTCTCAAACGAAATGACACTGCAATAAAGTTACACCAAAAGCGAGACGGTCCCACGCTAAATACATACATACGAACCAAAAACCCCCGAATGAATTCCCCCCCGGTCCCTATTTTGTCATTTCCCCGTCACAAAAACAACAGCCTTCCAAGATCTAACCCCCCTCTCAAACACCAGTGCTCATCCACCCAAACGTCCCCACCACACTAACCAATATCAACACCGTCAATATCCCCGCGCCCGCCTTGTCCCCCGTCGTCGGCGGCAGGTACTTGTCCTTGAAGTTATCACTCTGGCTCCCCGCGTTCGGATCCCCCTTGCTCGTGCCTCCCGTCGAGTTTGTCACAGGAGGCCTGCTCTGCCCGATCAACAACGACGACACGGCCCCCAAGACATTCATCGTCTGCCCCGCCCCCTGGCTCCCGTCAAAGGTGCCCGTGGACCACTTAAACCCACAGGCTCTCTGTCCGTTCTTCTCGCCTACACAGCTGGCAATAGCCGCCTTGGCCGAGTTCTGCAGAACGGGCAACACCTTCGGGGCGAGAAAAGGCGCGACCTGGGTGGCGGTGGCCATCCAGCGGGCGACGTAGCCCTTGAAGCTGAGCATGTCCGTCGTGCAAGACATGTGCTCCTCGCAGGCGACCTCGTAAGCAATGTTGTCGGGGAAGAAAACGCGGATGGTGGCGTCGGTGAGACCGTCGAGGCGTTCGCGCCAAACGTCACTGCCATTTGTCTAGGGCGTGTTAGCCAACCTTTGACTTCAGCAACCACAATGAGGGGCAAGAGAAAAACATGCATAATTATACATGTACGCCGCCCCAAGCAAAAACACCCCGTTGTTGTACGAAAACTGCGCCCGGTTGATGTCGGTGCAGTTGTGCTCGACGTGCCCGCCGTCGTAGATGTTGTACTTTTCGTCCATGAACCCGACTCCTCTCATCCAGTCCCATGTCTTTTCCGCCCAGTCAGCGTACGTGGTGTTGCCCGTGTACCGGGCCAGTCTCGCGCCCAGGTTGAAGAAGCATCCGTTTGCGATACCTGTCTCGTGTTAGCCCCTTTTTCCCTCTGGACGAGCCGCCGGCTGTCATGAGACGAACTATTCTTGTAATTATACCCATTATTCGACCAAGGAATCTGCCACCTCAACCCCCCGTTGCACGTCTCGTCGTGCCTGTCCGGGCTCGCCTGGGTGTTGAACACGGCCTGCGCCAACGCCAACCACTGCGGTTCATCCTCTGGTGGATCAGGAAAGTTGTTTTCCGCGGCCAGCATCGCCGACATGCCCCAGAACCCTTGATCGTCGTTCCCCAGGGAGGCGGTGACGTTGGGGGGCATGTAGTCCTTGTCTGGGCCTACCTGCCACAGCATGGCTTGGGTGATGAGATCGTTGTAGCTGTCGTCGCCGGTGAATTTCCAGTAGTCGATCAGGGTCCCCCACATGGCGCCGCCTTCCCACCAGTAGTAATCGCCTGCTGGGGGAGGACCAGGGAGGATGCCGGGGGTTTGGCCGGTGAGGTTGCCTTTGTAGTATTGGAGAAGGTCCCAGGCGAGGAGGGAGGAGGTTTGTTTGATGTCGGCTGGGGAATTGTTAGTATCGTCAAGGTCAGGGCAGCTGAAGAAAGGGGAAGCGCACCAGCGGACGCGATGCTATAAGTGGCGGCGTTGGCGACGGCGGCGCCACTGAGCAGAACGGCTGCCGTGTGTCGTATTGGTGAAATCATCTTTGGTATCAATGTTGTGGTGGTTTGTTTCTTGGTGACGAAATAGAGAAAGCGACCGGAAAGGGGGGGTGAAGAATGTGAAAAACGAATGTGGTGGTAGTGGTGTAGCTAAGTCGAAACCATCAGAGCCGCGATGATGATGTTGGTTTTTTTTTGTTGTTTTTTTTTCTTCTATTCTTCTCCTGCTGTTGCTGTTTTTTCGTAATAGAGTTGTTTGCGAAAAGCGAGTGTATGCCGGAGACTGAACGAGTGTTGTTGTGTCACGCGTATTTTCGGCTTTGACGGATGGCGATCAAGGAAAAAATACGGGGCAAGGAGAGAGAGGAGAGAGAGAGAGGGAAAACTTGGAATGGGGGGCAAGAGGTGTCGCTAATCTGCGTCTTGATGCGCGCGTGTGGGAGCGGCACACAGCACTAATGAAATCTGGGTGGTCTTGCAGATGCTTGGGAGGACGGTCGAATCGATACTGCCGGGCATGGGATGACACGAAACGGCTCACGGAAAGCCGAGGGGTTGTCTAACAGCGCAGCAAGGATGTTATTGTATCGCATACAGCCATCACTTCTGGAAAGAGGCACACGGTCGGGATAGTGGCTTGTGGACAGGGAGGGATGGGCTGATAAGGGAACACGAGGGGGGCTGCCTCCCGCTGATTCATATCACTGGGAGAGCTACATTCCAGCTGGGGCTCTCTTTTGGAGCTCTCCCTGAGCGAGGCATGACGTCTGTTGTTTCTCTCAACTCAATCCTCTCCTTCAAGACTTGGCATCTTGAATGATGGGGAACTCGTCGAATTCGCCGCTCTTGGCGATTCAACCAAGCATTTGCCAAGCGACGCTCCCGCAATCTTGGACAGCAGGGGGCAGCACGGGCCACCACTTCGGCCCAGGCACCGTTTCTGTCATGTCTGGTGCCAGCACTGCCATCTCCTGTCAGACAGGCTGATGACATTGATTATTGATTGGCAAACCAAAGCCATCATTAGGTTACTCCTGGCGCTTCTTTTCATCTCTTTGAATTTGAGAGATATGAATCGAATCACCGCTTAACCTGGTTCACTGATGCCAAGTGATAACCATCCGCTGCTTGGCAATGAGCTCACTCCGCTAACCCCAGCTATTAGCGTTCATTAAGCTCAGCCCTATTGAATTTGACATGATTCATCACGCACTTCGTAATGATATCCTCTGCAGAAACTCATGTCAAATTCGATTTCTTGTTTTGATAGTGACACAAGGAGAACCCTGAGCAAGGCGATCGTCTCGGCACCGGCCCAAGCTGCATGGAACTGGAGGACGGGAAAGAACCACTCGTCTTGATGATCGCTCCTGGCATCATCGCTTGGCACTTGGGCACTGACACATCTTTTTCGGAGCTGCTTGCCTCTCGGACTCTCCATCAGAACAGCCCGACATCATTCTTCTGGGCCGGCCCTCCGTTTCATGTACGACCTTTTCACTTCCTGATCTGTTGCGTGATGTGGTAGCTGTCACAGACCTAATTCTATCGCAGATACCTCTACAACTCGATACCACTCGCTCGAGCCAGCTTGGCCTTGGCCACAGACACAATGGTACATATATCTCAGTCCTTCCAGTATCATGATACAATTGGTCAGCCATCAAGTGCTGATAAATTCCCCAAGAACACCATCACCCAGACGCAACTAGACCTGCTCATCCACACCATCCGAACGACACCCATCGTCGACCATCATGCCCATCCTCTTCTGAACTGGGACAACCAGACAGGAAAATACCCCCTGCTCCACATCACCTCTGAAGCATCAGGCGACGCCATCGAAAGCGCCACCACCTCTCTTGCCCACCTGCGCGCCGTTAGACAGCTATCTACAGAACTCAAATGTGCACCCAACTGGGAGAGCGTCGTTGCCAAGCTTGAGGCCGTCCGCCTGGATCCTGATGAACCCGATATCTGGGGTGACTGGATAAGCCGCTGTCTGGAGGGTGTGCACACCATCCTCTTGGACGATGGGCTGGACAACAAGGAAGCTGTGGAAGACCTCGATTGGCATACTTCGTATGTCCAGAGCCCATGCAAGAGAATCTTTAGAATCGAGGCCATTGCCTCGGACCTGATCAAGCATCTTAGCGCGGGCGAGTTCCATGACGTGAAGAAAGCAGAGGCAATCATCAAGGACCCCGCTGCCCTGAAGGAGTTTTGGGAGAACTGGGCAGGGTCGTTTGACAATGCTATCAAAAACGCAATCGACGACCCTCTTGTGGTTGGGTTCAAGAGTGTGGTTGCTTACAGGACTGGGCTGGACGTTGCCGGCAAGGAACCGAGTGGGGATGCTGTCCAGCCCGCGTTGAAGGAAGTCGTCAAAAAGTTCTTGAAGGTGCGCACCGCGAGGCTGGAGGACTCGAGCTTGAACGACTATGTCATCCACAGGACGGCAACCCTGATTCGAGACTACATGGGGAAGAATCACGAAGAGGATATCATCAGAAAGCCCAGGAAACCGATTCAGTTCCATACCGGCCTGGGAGATAGTGACTTGACTCTGGCCAAGGCCTCGCCGAGTCACTTGCAGGAGTTCATCAGGTCGTACCCGGACGTGCCCATGGTGCTGCTGCATGCTGGCTATCCCTTCACGAAAGAGATTGCGTACATGGCTACGGTGTATAAGAATGTGTATGCCGACATTGGGGAAGTCTTTCCCTGCATCAGTAAGGACGGACAGGAGAGGGTGCTCATGGAGATTCTGGAACTGTGTCCCTGGTCCAAGATCTTGTGGAGTACAGATGGACATTGGTTTCCCGAGACGTATCTGCTGGCGATCATGCAGATGAGGGAGGCTTTTGAAAACGTAAGTGCCAAAGAACTACTAGAGTCAGCAGGTTGGCTAACGTGCGCAGGTTCTTTGCAGTTACGTCTTGAAGGGGCAAATCGGCTGGAGAGCCGCTATCGTACTTGTCCAGGATCTGCTCTTCAAGAATGCCAACAAGCTGTATCATCTGGGGCTGGACTTTCCAAAGCCAGAGGAAGTTGCGAGCAGGTCTCTCGCGAGATATCCCAACCCATCCCGCAACCTTACGCTGCTCCGCGAGCTCCTTAACAACACCATTGAGCCGACGTTTGTTCAGATCTGCTGGAACGATTATACCGCCCTGCAGCGTATGCGTCTGGTTCCGTTCCGCAAGTTTATGACCCTATTGGAGGCAGGCAGATCGCTGGACATTGGTATCACCAAGGCTGTTTTTGGTATGATCCAGAACGACCATCTCATTCCGAGCTCCTCAGCAACAGGAGAATATCGTCTACATCCCGATTTCTCCTCTCTCAAGCATGGCCCTGTTGCAGGACACATCAGCATGCACGGCGAGTTTCGCGAGCAGGACGGGTTTCCCGTGGCGCTTTGTCCACGATCGCTGCTCCTTCGGTCAGTCGAGATTGGCTCCCAGAAGGGACTCGGGTTTCTGCTTGGGTTCGAGATTGAGTTTCTGTTGTTGGAGCGTGTCGAAGACGATTCGGTTCTGGACCGCTACACAGCTCTCAAGACCGACGGCCACGCGTGGTCTGTCTCCAAGTACTACGCCAACCCCAAGATCAACGCTTTGCTCAAAAACATGGTGGAGACCCTCGACCAGATGGATATTTACGTGGAGCAGATTCACGCCGAGTCTGCCACTGGCCAGTTCGAACTCATCCTTCCGCCCTACCCGCCCGTTCAGGCAGTTGATACCCTGCTGCACACCCGAGATGTCATGGCCAACCTGGCCACAGAAGCGGGCTTCAAGATGACACTCCACCCCAAGCCATTTGCCAAAGCATGTGGCACTGCCGCTCATATGCACATGAGCATCCTGCCCGAAGCCGACGCTTTTGATGCGGAGAAGGTGACGCGGCACTTTTACGCTGGTGTACTCAAGCACCTGCGCGCCATCACGGCTTTTAGCTATTCCAACGCGGCAAGCTACGACAGGGCGCAAGACGGCGTTTGGGCTGGCGGGCGGTGGGTAGCTTGGGGCACGCAGAACAGGGAGACGGCGCTCAGGAAGATTGAGGGGTCGCACTGGGAGGTGAAGATTATTGATGGGCTGGCAAACCCATACTTCGTCGCTTCAGCAGTCTTACTAGCGGGGATCAGGGGAGTGGAAACAGAGGAGAAGATGGTTTGGGACGATTGCGAGATGGACCCGGCCAAGTTGAGTGATATGGATCGGAAGGAGCTGGGAATTTCGCAGATGCTTCCGGCTAGTGTTGAGGAGGCGTTGAGGGCGCTGCAGGAGGATACGGAGATGGTGGAGATGTTGGGGCATGAGTTGGTGGAGAGGTATGTGGCTATCAAAGAGTTTGAGGACGAGTTTTTGGGGAAGATGGGGGCTGAGGTGAGGAGGTTGTGGTTGATGGAGCGGTATTAGTTTGATGCTGTAAAGATGGGTTGAGGAGTATGCTTAGATAGGCCGCAGAAGATTGGTGAATAACGGGAACATGATATACTTGTGTGTCTTTTTCTTCTTTTTCTTCTTTTTTCTTCATGTCTTCAGCCTTGCCTTCCAGGTTGATACTTGCCCCACGCATGCACCCGCCCCCGCAATCAGGGGTCGCTGACAGGGGTCAGCCAACCGTTAGCGTGGAGCTGGAACTGGCGGCGCATGGCTTGGCGCTGGAATCTGCCGCAGAAAGGTCAAGCTGTCCTCAAGATTCAATTGGCGATGGTTGCAACGGTTTGCGGCTGATTGACTTTTGATTTTTTTTTTCGTTTACGTGATACTCCTTTTTCGACGAGAGGCAGCTGACGACTGACAATTGCTTTGTCTTTGTCAAAGAAAGCCCGACGGTGTTACCGGCACGCCGATGCGGTAACCCCAACTTTTTTTCCCCCGACAACTGGAATTCGAGGCTGGTGGAGGGGCCCACGGAGGGACATGATCAGCGGCCATCCTGAGGCTTGAGCTGAGAGTAACCTACGACGACACCGACGGCAGACGAAACCGACGATACTTGGTATTGATATCGAAGACGGGCAAAGAACATACGACGCGCGTCTTCAAAGTACACAGCCAGCTGAGAGCTAGGCCATATCGACGCTCCCGTCGCACACGAGACGTACAAGGTCCACACACAGCAGAAACCACAACCACCAACAACCATGATGAACGGCTACGATGAAAAACGGGGCCACCGCACCGACGATGACGACCCCTTCGCCGCCAAAGGCAACATCGTCAGCGCCTTTGATGCCTTTCGTATGTTTCCCACCCTCCACCCTCCAACCCACCACCCCATCACCGTCTGCTAACATGTGTCCCCCCCCCCCCCCCAACTCAGCAAAAGCCAAACCCCAATACGTAACTCACGCCTCCTCCAGCGGTCTATGAACAGTAGCCATGATGATCCCCTCCCCCTGCCCCATAAGGTCCAGAAATCACCAGAACACGACAAAGCACCCGACAACACCCAATTTGAATCCAAAATGGGAGTTAATTGTCTTCAAGATTACCACATCAGCTTGCCATAATTATCAATAAC